GAGAACGAAAGTGCCAAAAATGGCATCACTGTATTACACGATACGAGACTCAGCATCCAGCCAATCAGATCATCCCATGATTTTGTGCTCTAATTTGGCAGCACTAACACACCATGGGGAGCTAAGCAAAATGTTGAGATTCCAGTCGCTACGCGAAACAAGGCACTGTGTTCGATCAAGGGATTTTTAGTTTTGTGTTTACAACAAGTAATTTTTAGCAAAAAAAAACCGACTTCAACTCTCATATAAAAAAAAAATATGTATATATATATATATCTCATGATCCACTGATCGGATCTTAACCAGATTAGTATGGGACCACCTCTGAGACACTACCTTTCCGATGCAAAATTATCGAAATCGGTTGACGTGGTCCAAAGTTATGCGGTAACATACATAAAAAAAAAATAAAACAAAAAAAATAAAAAATATTCCGACGAACTGATAACCTCCTCCTTTTTTGGAAGTCGGTTAAAAAATGCTACAAGACTGCGTTTATTATGTAAAAAAAAAGTTTTTAATCGCGACCTAAGAATTTTATAACGCTAAAACATAGAGAAAATATTTAAATTTTGCGTCTTTCGCGTAACCAAAACTGACACCATAAATTCATCAATAAATGCCCGTACTTAGTACTATTTTTTCCAAATTCACACTGGCAGTTTATATACTAAAATTTAATAGGCCATGAAAAGTGTAAAATTTTGTTGAATTTTCATAGTTTTTGTACAAAGTTTGAATTTTGAACATGCTTGTTTTTATTAGGTAATGGGCAATACTTTTATAAAAACTAGTAATTTTTAGCAAAAAAAAAACCGACTTCAACTCCCATATAAAAAAAAATGTATATATATATATCTCATGATCCGCTGATCGGATCTTAACCAGATTAGTATGGGACCACCTCTGAGACACTACCTAAAAATTCTACGCCTACAGACTCATTTATATCTATACACCTTAGTATGAGCACCTACCATAGATATTTCTGCATACCAAATTTCACGTTTATGTGACTAATCGTTTCGAAGTTTTGGCTGATTAAAATTTTCACGCCTATGGGAGGTGCCACGCCCCCTTTTACAAACTCATTTAGGTATACCTCACTATAACAACCTATGTATGTACCATAGATATGTCTGCATACCGAATTTCACGCTTATGTAACTTATGGTTCTGAAGTTATAGCTGATAAAAAAATTCCACGCCTTTGGGATGTGCTACGCCCCCCTTTTACAGACTCATTTATATATATACCTTACTAAAAGCACCTACCGTAGATGTTTAGGCGCGTCTGCTAACACCAGGCGCCTAAATACATGCTATGTGCTGCTGCATGTGCAAAAATTTCCTTTTCTCAACTGCCATGTAATGGAACTTTCTTAAGCTTTAATTAGATGGCACTTCAAAGTATGCTCCGCCTAGTCTGATGCATCCTCCGGACACTGCTTCCGGAGCATTTTGCGGACTCTGCATGACTTACAACCATGCAGAGGTGGCAAACGAACTTTGCCATTGGCCACAGTGCCTACCCACCATTTTTGAACCAATAAATATTTTTTTGTATGAATACATACATGCAAACATACTGGTCTCCCCTCTCACTGAGTTATTCAGTAGATACATATGATTGCATACCAAATTTCAAGTCATGTGGGGTGAGCTCTCTGATAAACAAAAAATTTTGAGGTAAAATATTTACATTTTTTTGAATAAAAAAAAATCGTGCCTTTTCATGTATTTTCTTTAACTGCATCTACAAACCAGGCTATACTTAGTAAATTTTTTATGTAAAAAACAGTATAGTTGCCTCTCCATACTCAAATGCAATGTAGTTAAAATATATTAAGGAACCATCATAAAATTATGACTATTTTGGGATTTTTCAATTTTTGATATTTTCTTCCCCAACTTTGCCTATCTCTGGTGAAAAAAATGTACTGAGCTATAACTTTACATAACATAAAAAAATTGCTCATTTAATAAAGATTTTAGAAAGGTGCCACTCTTACTGTTTCGAATAGAAAAAAAAGTTATAGCCGCTTTTGTGGGCAAAGGACTGAGACACGCTAGAATGTATTTAATAGATTTAAATTTATATTGCTCTTGCTACCGACCAATGACATGCTAAATAGTACAAAGTATTACCTGCTCCTGACATTGTTTTATGCTACTTACCAGAATTATGACTAGAGTCTATAATGAGGGCTATATCTATCAATATTTTTTGTGAAGGATGGATTCACGTGAAATAAAATATACATGAGTTGTTTGAAGAAAAATGTATTCATTTATTGATAAAATATGCTCAAATTGGCAACCCTCTACTTTAATACAAGCTCGGCACTTTTTAAGAAAAGACGCTTTTAGAGATCTTAAACTCAATTGGGCTGTCTCAGCAGCAGCTCCATTTATTTGTTCCCGCAAATGCTCTTCGTTTTGAATTGTTTTTGAATAAATTTTTCCTTAAGACAGCCCCAGTAGAAAAAATCTAATGGATTCAGGTCTGGAGATCGAGCGAGCTACGTGATTGGCCCGTATCGTCCAATCCACCGGCGAGGATAAGTTTCGTCTAGATGAGCTCTTAGTTCACGCCCGTAGGCGTAGGCGGCAGTTCCACAGGTCCCAATATCTGACAATTAAAATTACCGCACCATAAATTTATTTTGTACCGGTACGGCGAACGATCTTCTCTCATTTCGTGAGGATTGTCTATCTGCCAACTGTGAAGGTTATGTAAATTAAAATAACCATCACGTTTGCATGGTGATTCATCGCTCCAAATTATTTTATTAAAAAAGTTGGGGTCTGATTCATGCATTCGCAACATTTCACGGCAAAACTAACCCTCGACAGGTAATCTCTTTCTTGTAGAGCCGGAACACGTTGAATGTGGTAGGGATGAAATCGATGGTCTTTTAAAGCTTTGTGAACGTAGTTTTTGGTATTTCCGTCCGTCTTTCCATCATTCTCACTGAAGTCGATGGACCTAGTTCCACTTCCTCTAACACAACTTCAACATCTACCGTTGCAGGACGTCCTGTTTCGCCGCCACGCCTTCCAGGTATGCGACCTTAAAAAAGTGAAAAATGATAGTTAACAAGCAAGCAAACAAGAAAGGTGTAAAAATCACTTACCTTCATATATTTCTCTATGGGTCCGGGCGAATACTTCACGACCCGGATGCCGACGATTGGGGTATCGCTCTGCATAGAGTCTATGAGCAGCTCTGGCATTACAGCAAGCTTCACCGTAAATTAGGTGAATATCCGCACATTCATGCGACGTATACTGCGTGTTCTCTGTCATAGTATTAATAACACAATGTTCGAAGGGTCCAATTTCACAAAATCCACTTTCACTAATTCCGGTAAGTAACATAAAATAATGTCAGGAGCAGGTAATAATGTACCTTTGTACTATTTAGCATGTCATTGGTCGGTAACAAGAGCAACTTAAATTTAAATCTATTAAATACATTCTAGCGTGTCTCAGTCCTTTACCCACAAAAGCGGATACAACTTTTTTTTTTCTATCCGAAACAGTAAGGCACGGTGCACATTAGAGCGATACGATATGCGAGGCGATATGCGATACGACACGCGATACGATATGAATGCGACATCGGCATGCTGAGTACGTGGGAATTGGTAGGAAGCGATGAAAACTGTGCACACTTGCACGACAGCGACACCGCTGCGATATAATATCGCATGCGTATCGCACGTACGATACGGTTTTCTGAACGAGGTGAGATTAGTATTGCGCGGCATTTTTTGCAATAAGCATGATCGTTTCACAGGCGGAATCATCGTCCTCAATTTTCGATAGTCGAATTAATAAAAAACCCATGTTTATGAAACTATAAAAAAAAAACCACTGTACAATAAACATGACTAGCTTCGCATGGAGAAATATAGGGTTTGTGGTCAAGGACACAGGACTCAAAAGAATATTTTGTGTGATGGTTTATTTGCCTTTGATTTCACATCTTTAAAAAGAAATTTAAAGAATCCAATAATTTTAAACATACTTACTTTTGATATTGAAAAGAAAAAAGATTTGGTGTTTGTTTAAATGTTAATGATTAACTATTTTGTTTCAAATAATTAGTAATCAGTGTAATTAGAAACAATTAAAAAATAATCATCTCATTTATCATTAAAAAAAGAAATCAGATATAATAACAAATACTAAAAAATTATGTATGTATGTACATACATAGATAACTATTTTTGATTATTCATTATATTTTAATTTTTTTTGCTTGAGTATTATTTTATTATATTTAAGGAATTTTTAAATTAAAGAGGGAAAGTACAAATATGTGTGCTCTATTACACAATGCTACAAAAAATAATGAAGTAAAAATACCTGGTAAGTCATGTTAATTTTCAGGTAGGTTTTGCCGAGTGAAGTAAGAATCGAGATACGAAATTTTTGTCAAACACCCACACAACCTTGATTTACTGTTAAAAAGCCAGTTTTCCGCACTTATAAGCTTGTAACTCAGTTGACTATAAACCGAGTTTAGACCTTTCCAATGATATTCTATATACTAATACGCTAACATAAATTTTGTCCGCCTTCGTTTAGCGATTCTACCGAACACCGTTGGAAATGCATTTCTCCGTAGATGAGCAGAGTTTTTATGGTTTAACCGTCAAACCCGTCGTTTAAACATTTCCATATTTGTGTATACTAGATGTTGCTGCAACATGTTCAATTTGACATGTTTCGCATGCTGTTTCACTTCGTATTTGAAATTAAAGGGTAGTACTCTCTTCACAGCCGTGAAATTTCCCTAGCAACATCTATTTTGCTTGTTGGTTGATAGCAACATTTATTGTCAGATGAGTAGAAACGTCTAAACTAAAAGTGAACAAATGTAAACAAAGAAATTGACGTGCATCGTAACGGTAGCAATCGGCAAATTTTGGTAAGAAAAAAGCTTTTAAAACAATTTAATATTACTAATGGTGTTAATTTTTACAGATTTAACTACTTTCAGTTGATTTCAACTAGTTTTTTCATATTCCGAACCCACAGCAGTACCCAGCAGTGTCGGTGCATCGCCCCAGTAGCAATCGGCAAATTTTGGTAAGAAAAGAGGTTTTAAAACAATTTAATATTACTAATGGAGCTATTTTTTACAGATTTAACTACTTTCAATTGATTTCAACTAGGTTTTTCATATTCCGGACCACCAGCAGTACCCAGCAGTGTCGGTGCATCGCCCTAGTAGCAATCGGCAAAAGAGTGGTCATTATATTTATTTGTATTGAAAGTGACTTGATGACAGAAAAATGAAAACTGCAATTTTAGAGGAAGCAGCTTGTTTGGCAGGTGCGCAGATGGTGGCAATGATTGCAGAGGTAACGAAAACTTATTCTCAACGCGAGAAAGTGGATCCGTTTTTGCAGGAAAGATGTACACAGGGGCGTTTTGCAAAGGATGTAAGTTTCTAAATTGTATATTTTACAATCAGCAATAATGAGCCTTTGGCCTAATTTCTAGTTTGAAGATCTCGTTAGCAGTGAAAGCAGATTTTTCACATGGACCTGAGAAGTTTCAACGAGTTGTACGCGCTAGTTTAGGGATGTTTGAAACGCCACCGCTGACGTCACGACATAACACGTTCTAACATGCAGCGAATGCGTTACAGATACAACCAGTATCAGGCAGCGAGCCAAATGGAATTTCCCAAAATAAAACAAAGATAAACATGAAACAATAGACAAATACTAGTAAACAAGCTGAACAACAGATAAAGACTAGTAAACAAACTAAACAAATGACAAATACTAGTAAACAAGCTGAACAACAGATAAAGACTAGTAACCAACTAGCAATAGAATTTTCCACTGCGATAACCACCGCCGCATTTCAATAGTATAAATAGACCTAAAAATTTAAAATGTAGAGCAGTCTTAAGAATATGTAAATAAAGAAAGCACGCTAACCGTGCAGAGAAAACATATATTTTTTGAACTCATATCGTGTAAACGATATTAACTGGGGGCTCAACCGGGATCACAATAAGTTTTGTCATCTAAAACCAAAATCCTTGAAATACAGGAAACCATAAATTCCACGGTCTTGAAGAAAGAAAAAAACAGTTTCTGGAAAAGTAAAATAACACAACCATTCCTAAAAAACGGAACAATAAAAAATTTCGAAGAAGTCCATGCGATTCCTATCTTATAATTCTACCAAACGACTACGAAGTGCTAACAAACCCCATTTCTCCTCTTTAAGATATCAAAGAAGTGGAGACACAACAAATATGGCCGAAGAAGCACAACTAAGAGCACAAATTGATGCCTTAACACAACAGTTCCAACAACAAACCCTGCAAGTAAATGCCCTGCAACAGGTGCCTAGTACTGTAAAAGAAAACCAAAGCGCCTTCCACAATATCACCACCAATACAGAACACGAGGAGATCCCTCTTGCAATAACAAATGCCAACGAAATCGATTTGGAGCTATTCAAAGCTTTACCCAAGTTTGAAGGGGGAAATAAACGCGTATCGTTCATGGAGATCACAAGTCTGGAAGTTTACGGATGACATCAAAGCGTTCACAGGACAACCTAGATATTATAGTGCAGTGGGGATCATCCGTATAAAAGTGATAGGAACAGCAGCCGACATACTTAGCAATCACAACACTAATTATAGGTTTTCGTTTATGTGTTATTAGACGAGATGAAAAAAATTTATCAAGGAAGAAAGAATTTATCCGAATACCATAGCGAAATTGATAAAACACTTAACTTTACGCTTTCAAAAATTTAAATGTCTCATGAGCAAAACGATGAAGCCATGAAAACATATGCAAGCCAAGAAGCTGTTCGTACATTCATTATGGGACTGAATAGCAGATACACAAGTGGAACCTTGTACAGCCAAAACCCAAGAGACGTAGGGCATGCGTATGCTATTGCCAGCACAATTCACCACGATAACCATAATCAGCAATTTGAAATGCAACCAAGATATGCCCAACAAACAAGAAGCCACCCGCAACCAGGGTATGTCCAACAAACAAGAAGCCACCCAGGAGAAGAACGCTTCCCTTAACGAAATGAACGCCCAACATATAATCCAGGGATACATGTGCAACGCAACAAATTTATTCCACACAACGACCGTTTAAATAAACCGATACCTATAGAAGTGGACAGCTCTAGGCAGTTTATGCGGCATACTCAACACCAACAGGGATATCAGAATCCTTTCAAAAGGGAAAGAAACCCATCCTCACACAACTTCAATCAATACAAGCAGCAGAGGATCAACCAAACTCATCAAACTGAAGCCGAATCTACCACATCTCATTTCGAGGAACAGTACGAGACCGGAAGTACTTTTTTAGGCGAGTGAACGGGCTGCCCTGCATTCAAACAAAGTGCGGTCTTACAGGGACACCCGTTACTATTTTAATAGACACAAGATCTACGAACAATTATATAAGTATCAACTGTAACATTGGTAAGTCAGTACCTATTAAACCTATAAAAACAAAAACTATGCACGGATATTCATTATTGAAATCTAAAAAAATTATAGCTTTGTTTAGTCATCATATGCTTTTTTTTTGAAATTGATGAGCTACAAGAATTTGATATGATACTAGGTGAACAAGGACTTAGACTTATAAAAGCAGAAATAAACCTATTCGAATACAGTTTAAGGTACCAAAAGAAAATTGTGAAAGCAGAAGATGAACAAAAAATAAATTACACAATAAATAACAAAGCATATGAGGATGATATTAGGGAAATTATGAGGAAAAATGACGAAATTAGTGAAGTCCTACCTTTTACCACAACTATCCAAGCAACTATTAGAACGAATAATGAAGATCGTATTTGGACTAAACAATATCCTTATCCCACGTCAGATAACGATTTTGTGAATACAGAAATCCAGAAACTTCTCGATAATCATATAATTCAACCAAGTAAAAGTCCATACAACTCTCCGATTTGGACTGTTCCGAAAAAGGGCACCGATGAAAAAGGGAAACCCAAAAGAAGAATGGTTGTAGATTATCAGAAGATTAACGCTCAAACAATAGCAGACAGATATCCTATCCCTGATGTAAATATGGCTATTCAAAACTTAGGAAAAGCAAAAATATTTTCTACTATAGATTTGGAATCAGGATTCCACCAAAAGCTAATAAAGGAATCAGACAGAGAGAAAACCGCGTTTTCAGTAAACGGCGCTAAGTATGAATTTATCAGGATGCCATTTGGGCTTAAGAATGCACCCTCAATATTTAAGCGATGCGTAGATGACATTCTCCGCCAGTATATTGGAAAATTCGCATACGTATACATAGATGACGAGTTAATATATTCCTCCTCACCCGAAGAACATATAAGAACTATCGTAAACGCCTTGCATAATGCCAATATGAAAATCTCTAACGAAAAGTCAAGTTTTTTCCAGAACTCAGTCGAATACCTAGGACATATAATAAAACACAATAAAGTAACGGTTGATCCCAAGAAAATTCAAACAATAAAAGAATATTCTATTCCAAAGACATTAAAAGAACTCAGATCGTTCCTAGGATTAGCTAGCTACTATAGGAAGTTTATTCAAAATTTTGCAGCAATGACTAATCCTTTGACAATACACCGACGAGGCTACAATGGTATAATTAGTAAAAAAAAAGTGCTAAAGTAGAAGTTAAATTAGATGAGGCAGCTCTAGAAGCTATTGAGAAAATCAAGGATGCGCTTCAAGCTCAAGTAGAACTTTATCAACCTGACTTCACGAAACCCTTTGATCTGACTACAGATGCCAGCAATTTCGCTATAGGCGCAGTACTGTCCCAAAACAGACAACCTATCGCTTTTGTTTCACGAACACTCAATGAAACTGAGCAAAATTACAGTACTAATGAAAAGGAACTTCTAGCTATTGTATGGGCCCTACAGAAATTAAGAAATTACTTATATGGAATTGCTAATTTAACAATATATCCGAAAAGAACCCAAATAACAAATTAAAGAGATGGAAGAATTTAATAGAAGAATATGGCGCGAAATTAGTGTATAAACCAGGACATCAGAATGTAGTCGCTGATGCTCTATCAAGGCAACAAATAAATACGACCACTGATTGGTCAGAAAACTCAGCAAAAAGTTCACCCGTGGATCAGTTCAAAAATGTCAAACAACCTTTAAACTCTTTTCGCAACCAAATTATACCAATTCACGACGAAAATAGAGACGAAATTGTGTCACAAACGATCTTTACAAATAATACACGACATATAATACATTATAAAAACAAAGAAACCCTGATTTCAAGTTTAAAAAAAATTATTCGACCAGAAGTAACAAACACTATAAAACTAGAAGAAGAAATTTTATTTCATCTGAAAAACGATATCAGCTCTATTTTCGCTACATGTAAAATTGTCGTAGCACAAACACAACTTCAAGACGTAGCTGATCCGGACGAACAAAGACAGATAATAATACAAACTCACAAAAGAGCACATAGGAATTATAAAAATAACGCACAAGAAATACTTACTCAGTATTTTTGGCCCTCTATTCGAGAAATGTGTAAAATACGAGAGACATCCTAACAAACAACCAATCGGTAAAACTCCAATACCAACACATGTAGGCGAATATATTCAAATCGACAGTGGCGTAACTATACCATCTGAGGCCCGTGGCAAATTGTTTAGATGGGGCCCTCCCAGTAAAAATCGTCACGATGACGATGTCTTGTTAAAACCCTGTTGTTTAAAAAAACAAAAGGAAACTAAATGTTATAAATATTAAACTTATAAATTTGATGTTTGAACTTAATAATAGAATTCATAAAAACTCAAAAATATTGGTTATTCAATATATTTCTCACACGCTTCTATTTTATGTATTATATATATGTAAGCGGCCGCTGTGGTGTAGTGGTAAGCAGTGCGCGCTTCTACTCCGCGGGGCCTGGGTTCAAGCCCTGGTCAAAGCAACATAGCAAAAACTTTAGAAAACAGGTTTTTTCTTAACAATAGTCGTCCCTCGGCAAGCTATGGCGAGTGCATTTCTGCCATGAAAAACAGCTTCTCAAAAAAATACATTCGCCGTTCAGAGTCGGCGTAAAACTGTAGGTCCCTCCCCTTTGTGTGACAACATCAAGGCGCACGCCACAAATCGGAGGAGAAGCTCGGCCAAACACTAACATATGTGTAAGCGCCAATCTATTACTAATTGTATGAAAAAAGGACTAAATTTTCTGTTGCACTTCACAAATGAGATCAAGATAAGGGAAAAATGAACAAATTGTATTCGTAAAACCCTTTTTTCTAAATTTTTTACGATGTGACCAGGGCTTGAACTAAGGCCCTGCGGGGTGGAAGCGCGAGCTGCTTACCACTACTCCACAGTGGCCGCCGACCGCAGTCATACCACTTAGTAAAGAAAAAAATAGTAAAATGAAAGTACTAGTCGTCGAATCGACGAACATCTGTACTCTAGGGTTAATAAACCACTTAACAATAATGTGTGCATTTTAGTTAAATCTCTAATAAATTTTATTTTCAAGACATAAAATAAAGTATATGTAAATATATGGTCAAAATTATGGGAACGAGGAACGAGTGAAGAAAAATATTTCTTTGACTCACCCGTCAACTCTTGACATCATTTGTTAATATACATATTAAACCATCTAGAAACAAGTGCCAATTGACATCCAATGTGTGCGGTGCGCGTTCTTTTCTTTTGTGCCTCTCATGCGATCAAAATGGAGAATATAGTCTAGTAGTAAGTAGGTAACGTTAAAGACCACATATTTCGACGTTCCCACGACAGTCGAGTCTACGTGACCGGAACGACCCAGATTTATATCTGGCCAAGGACTGTCACTCCAGCAACACTCCCCAAAAACAACCACCACATATTTCTCATCAACGTATTCTATCCAAAATGAACCTTGATCATTTTTAAAATACTTTAGTTTAATTTTTAACTTTGCAGGATTCGCCAAGATTATCCGTATGTGTGACGTTATATATAACTGCCTTCCAAAAAATATAACTTTAAAGACCACTTAAAATTACATTTATCTTTAAAACAACAAAAGCTAGGAAACAAGCCAACTCATTTCTGATAATTCTCCGATTTCGACAATGAAATTCCCCGACGTTCTTCGAGATTTCGTGAAACTCGCCACACATAGATATCTCCTTATTTACAAAAAAATGTGTATGTATTTTGAAACATTGCTGGTTTTGCTGTTTATTTTATTCAAATGTATTCATAAACCAAACCAAATGGTTATAAAGTTAGTAACCAAATAAAGAATAAAAAATGTGCATAAATACAGTGGTCGAAAAAACTGTCGTCGACCCAAATTTTGACCAGCTTTCAATATTATTATTTTTTGTTTGCTGTTTAATTTGAGATATTTTTTTTTAAGTTTTTTAGCCCACCCATTTCTAATGAAATAAAAACCAAGCTTCAAGTAGCAGAAAATTAGTTAACACCTAATTCCTTACAAAAAACAGTTCAAACTCCCATTTCTCACGAGTTGCCTTCCCTGGTCTGTGTAAATGTATAAATGTAGCTTTTGAGCAGGCCTGGGCGACTCCGACTGCGCAGTACCCTCGGGGCAGTGTCGCGTGTTCGTATACTCGAAGTGGAAGGCGAAAATGAAGTCTAATTTAGCGTATGGAATTTTAACCGATTCATTATGAATTGGTAATTAATTTTCGCTTAATTTTCACCTTCAACTTCGTGTATACGAACAAGAGACGCTACACCGAGGGTACTGCGCAGTCGGAGTCGCCCATGCCTGCTTTTGAGGTTTATTATGAGGATAAATGGAAAACCTTCGGTTTTTATACAACGTTTCAGAAATATAAACAGAAATATATGTACGTGCGACTGTAACGTTAACGACAAAAATGGTGACCATAGGGTCTTAATTGTATCTCACTTTAATTGATTTTAAGTAATTAAAAAAAAATTATATCTTTTAAGTACTTAGTGTTGTTAAAAATGTTAGGTTATTTCTGAGCTCGCGGTTCCTTGGGCCGGGGCCCTCTCGGATCGGGGGCCCGTGGCATTTTGCCAACAATGCCACCCTATAGTTACGCCTCTGCAAATGGACATATTGAATAACAACATATACATTAGTTCTACCTGTAAATATTCCAAATACTGTTACATACGCAAACTACAAAGTAAAGTAAACTGCCACGAACACATTGCGGGAATACTCACATAAATATACCCTAACGCAAAATATTTAATGACAGACAATGAGAATGTGTTTAATGGGCATACAGCTAAATCAGTATACAACAGACTACATATACAGCACTCAGTTACACCAATACACCACTCAACGACGAACGCTCAAGTTGAACGCATACATAGTGCACTAATTGAGCTATCAACAGCTCTAGCGCAGGAAAATCATACGGCACCGGGAGAAGAATTATTTAACGCTGTGAAACAGTACAATAGGACGATTCATTCCTAGGGACACGAATTTCGATACGATACGATACCATATCGATACTTTTGGCGTTCGATACCGATATTTTC